TCAAAATGTATTCAATTTTCCAATTATTCTTTATTCACGCCCCCCACTTTCCCCGACAGATTCATTCACCGGGACACCAATCTGAAGGGGAAGGACACCAGCTCTCCGTACCTGGGGAGGAAGCACGCGACGTCACTGTGGCAGGACGTATGTAGGGAGGAAGGACGGGGTGCCCTTAGCCTTCTGTCTGCCGAGCTTATCACACACGGGTGGAATTGGACACAGCGCCGTCTGCGAGCCCACGCATTTTAGAAGAGTTACTCCGGGAAGAAAACGGGACTAGTTATGAGGGATGAGAGAAAATGGGAACGAGTTTTCGAGCATAGACAATAATATTGTAGACATTTTTTTGATGTCAGTGGTTCAAGGACGAGAAACGGGACAACTATGAACCAAAAAATTAAAAAAACTCGGGATAGATGATGTTTTTAGACGAGAACAAGGAGTGATGAAGACCGTGATTTTCTTATTTTTTATCAAAGAATTGTTATATTAATTCTAGTGTGTAAATATTCTCAACGTAAGATTTGCTTGTGGCAATGTTTGTTAGGATGGTTAGTTTTAATGGTTACTGAAACTGTTTCAGAATTTGTTTTACTTTCCCTCATTTCATACGATAGACACAACGGAAATCATAGTGTACAGTTATTACAAAAAAAATGCATAAACAGGCAAAAATAGGTCGTTGACTCTTTTTAATGTACTGTACATATCTAGCGACAAAGTGTAAACCTGGCGATTTTTTCCGAAAAAAATATATGATCCTTTTTTAAAAATACTGTAGGTAACGTTTCAAATAGGTGCTATTGTTTATTTTGTATGCAGTGAGAGGGAACTTGAATGAACCAACCCGCTAAAGGTAACGTAAAACTGCTACAAGTGATTCTGTCTTTTTATATAATGTCTACTGAATTGTATTTATATACTCCACTTGTATTATGGTTACACGATTGTCATTATGCAATGATCTACTCCAATTAATTGGCTTTCACACACCAGATCCACCCTCCGTCCATCTTTTAGCATTGACAGCGCATTTTTCTCCAGGTTATTGCACCTGTCATTGTTGGAATCATGACGTCATAGATATGATCCGTTGTGACGTCATCTTAAATAGTGACGTCACCCTCCTGCAGCGCTGCCAGATGTAAGCATGGACAGAGGTGTGTGATATCCTTCACTCTGAAAGATGATTTATATTATTGTATTAAGCTTTTTTGAACGCACCTCGAGTGTCTATAGGTTTCCTGACGCTCTCCATTGTTAACGAGAAAAAAATAAATAAATATATACATATACATATAAATATATATATATATACATATACTTGTGAAAATGATAAAAAGTTGCGTACTGATGCATGAGCCGTGACAGGTAGAGTGTATGCCATAGATATCATTGCCGCAGTTGAGAATATATTCCAGTTTCTCCCTCCAGTTTCATGATATAACCATTATACTGAGATTCGACGCAGTTAAAAGTCGTGTTAAAGTCACCACGAGTCTGTTTTTTACCTAACTGTGTGAAATATTATGAATGGGCTTGTCACTGCTGAAGGTCGTATGGAGAAGAAAAAACAACGTGATACTTATTGTGTCACTGTAACTGTATTTCACTATAACTTTAAGCAAGTGTAATCAAATAAGAGATATGACTTACAGTGATAGGCTCATTTTTTTTTAACCGTATTAGGTATATAGGCCTATTCTCTGTATTGGAGATGTGTGACTATTATAAACTACGCGGTCATTAACCATTATATGTTTTGTTATTATGTTTAATATATTTTAAGTTCTTTGTATTTCATTTTAGAGTTAACCATTCCTATATTTGTTTGCATTCCCTTAGCATGAGGGTCGAGCTGAGCGCGATGAAGCGTCCATTTTTGTTTTATTTGTTTGTTTTTTAGTTCATCTTTGTGTCCTTACGAGCGTGTCTGTGGGTGTATTGTGATTGTGTGTGCGTGTGTATCGTGGGGTATTTTGAGTGTGTGTGTATGTATGTGTGTGTGTGTGTGTATGTGTGTGTGTGTGTGTGTGTGTGTGTGTGTGTGTGTGTGTGTGTGTGTGTGCGTGCGTGCGTGCGTGCATGCGTATGTGTGTGCGTGCGTGCGTGTCGCGCATGTGCGTATGCGTGTGCACGTGTGAATATGTGTTTTTCATTATGCGTGTCTGAGTGTGTCTGTGTCTGTACATGTACATCCATACAGACACACCCAAACACACACTCGATTTAGCATGGACCTCCACATCTTCAAAAAAAAAGAAGAAGAAAAAATGAATACAGGACGACTTCAAACTAACCACAACCTGTAGCCGATTCGCTTACATATACCCGCCCGCATTATGCAACCTATAACCGAAGCCTTATAAAGGGAACTGATGTTTATAACGAATTCTTAATGCGATTGAAGGACCCGAGTTTAAATCCCCTCCATTAATTAATATCTCTCGGTCGCTTTATTTTACTTTCGTTTTCCTTTTTTTTTATTTTTTTTTTTAGTTATTATCTACCTATTTGTGTTTATTATAGATTTTAATTCTAATATTGATACTAACGATTATGCTCGGATTGTTTTTTTTTTGTTGTTTTTTTTTTTAATATTCATAGAAATTTCCCTTAAACTTCCCTCTCATTTTTATATATTTTTTATATATTTTATTTTATATTTATTTATGTATGTATCTGCAAGCCAAAGCCGCGGTTCTTTGTTATGGAAACAGATTGAAAGAAACTAAGAAAATAATAATAAACTTTTTTATTTTATAATATCGGTCAAGGTACATTTATTATTATCTTTATTATTATTATTATTATCATTATTATTTATTATTATTATTATTATTATTATTATTATTATTATTATTATTATTATTATTATTATTATCATTATTATTATTATTATTATTATCATTATTATTATCATTATTATTATTATTATTGTTATTATTATTGTTATTATTATTATTATTATTATTATTATTGTTGTTATTATTATTAATATTATTATTACTATTGTTATTATCATTATTATTATTATTATTATTATTATTATTATTATTATTTCTCTATTTATATGTTTTTTTATAATTTGATGTCTCATCTTTGCAATATTTTTATTTTACTTCTCTTCTCCTTTTCTCTCTATTTTAATTTCAATGCTTTTTTGTTATTATCCTGTTTTTTGTTTGTTTGTTTTTTTACCCTAACGCGAAAATAACAGTAAACATTCAAGTGGCTAATTTTTTAGTTCTGGGCAAACACGACCATTTTTGAAGCAGCATCAAAATGAACGTCAAAATCAAAGTCTAAAAGGTTTCTCGTATGTCATGATTTAGTGATTTGAAATAGAAGAGGGAAAGGTGATGAAGAAGAAGGAAATAAGATTTTAGAAATATATAGATATAGAATTAGTAAAAGTATCCAGATCCAACGCGATTCAACAACAAAAAACAAACGAATCCAAACCAAACAAAAACAAGGAAAGACGATTTCAAAATGTGAGTAACTAAACAAGTAAAAATAAAGTATAACGACCTACCAACAACGAATTTGACATCCTTGACGTGCCCTGACATCAGCATCTTAGCATCTGGAAGGAGGAGGCACAGGGCGTGACAGCTGAAGTAGAAACTGTGAAGTCCCTCCTCTTAACTAAACTCTTTTGACTTGACAGGTTGCTTCCCCCAAGAACTTTTTTTGTTTGATTTTGTTTTTGTTTTTTGTTTTTTTCGTTTTTCTAATGTGGTACTAGCGCGATGGGATTTTTTTTTATTGTTATTATTTTCGTCTTTTTTCACTCTTTTTTGTCTTTTTTTCTCTTTTTTTTTTTACTTTTTTTTTTAGAACATGCAGATGATTTTTGTTTTGTTTTTTTTGCATACCTTTCTGCATCTACTACTACGAAATGCCATAATGCCGTAAATGAATTTAAAACAAAACAAAACGGAATTAGTAGCAATTTGTAAAAAGAAATGATATGCACATATATTCTGAGGATATTACCGTGCCGACGGTGTTTTAAAAGGGATTCTTTCACAAGTTGGGCAAACCCATTCAGCAAAACGTAGCGAGGGAAATACACACAAACATATATAATCGATATCGAAAAAAAAGCCTTATCAATAGAAAGGGGGAGGGACGGGAAAAGGGGGGAGGGGGGAGGGGGGAAGGGAGGGAGGGAGGGGGGGAATAGTCCAATTTCATGATGTAGATGACGTCTTATCGACACGTTCCTTCTTTAGCGAAGGGAGACTGAACACTGATAAAACGAAAAAAAAAAGAAAGAATTCATACGAAAAAAAAGCCCTATTTGTACCATGCGGGTGACGCCCCACGTGGAAGGCTGAGGTAATGGGAGGCCCTTTTCAGCTTTGGATTTACTGACCTCCTCTAGTGCTTATTAAATAAGCAACGCATTACCAATATTATCATTGTTGATCATTCTGCTTTGTAATTTTAATAAATTTTTATATACTTAGTGCAATCTTGTGTGTTTTCCATGTCCTCTTCGCAGTTTGTTAATTCCTCTTGTGAATTGAAGTAACGAAAAAGAAATTTCACCTAAAGAAGTGAAAAGAAAATAAAGATAAATAAAAAGATCCTGAAACTGAAGGTATTAATGATATGTTTTCAAGAACAATTGATTTTTTGGTTCTTTTATCGTGGCAGTAAATTTCGCCTCTTTATTCGGGAGTATTATAAAAAGATATCGAATTCATGTTTTTGATAATGATAATAATTATTATGATATTAGAAATGATAATAATAGTGCTAATGATAATGACAATGATAATAACAGTAATAAATATAATGATAATAATAACAATAACGACCATAAAAATAATGACAATGATAATGATAATGATTTGTAATATTTGTAATATTGATAATATGAAAATATAACAATATGAAAAGATAATGATAATTATAATAATAATAAAAATAATAATGATGATAATAATGGCAATTATAATAATGATAATCTTAATAATAATAAA